GTTCTCCCTGTGGGAGACCCTTTGGTGTCTCCTGTTCCCATTAGGCTTCTTGCACACGTCCCACGTGTCGAATTGAGACGAGGGGTGGTACAGGGATCACTCCTTATACAAAGGAGCAGGAGAAGGAGGCCGCGGGGATATTGGTCGAGCAGAAGGCCAGGAGAGATAAAAAGGAGTTGCAGAAGAAGGCGAAGAAGTTGGCGTTCCTGGACGAGAGTAATAAAGGAAAAAGAGTTTTGAAGAGGTTGCACAAGGAGAAAGAGGAAGTTGCAGCCTCAGTGGATGAAGAAGAAGAAGAAGAAGTTGCGACTCCCTGAAAGGGGAGTCAAGTGGCACGAAGCTGACAGACACAAGACTGGAAAAAATGGTGACTGAGTAGGTGGCGACTAACCTGTCGATGGGAGAAGAAGAGGAAGAGATATTATATGTTCCCTAGGCTGAGAGGGAGGCGGCGATAAAGGAGATCCAAGCGGAGACAAATCCCTTGCGTCGGCACTATGGATGAGGAGAAGAGGCTGGAGTGGAAGTTGCGTCTCACAAGGGAAAGAAGAATGCGAATGAAGGTGGCAGACGAGATGCAGAAGAGACTGAATGAGGCCGCAGAGAGGGGAGGAGAGTTGAGTGAGACTGCCGATCTCAAGACCCAGATCGGACTCCTATCCGAAAATGTAGAGGTATTGTCGAGGGCGCAGCAAGAGCGATTCCGCCATCAGAGGGGCCACGATATCGCCCTGCAGTCCATACGCTTAGGGTTTAAAGACTTTGCACGTGATATGATGCTTGGTGTGGGCACAAAAGTGCAGGTGCGATTAGACAATACATAGAAGTTTTGCACAGACGCTATAGAAGCCGCCAGAATAACGCCCCCGAAGGAGGAAGAAGCACGCCCCCATAGAGAGCACGTAAACGTGAAGTTCCCTAATCCCTACAGTGGGAAAAAAGGAGAGAACTTCAATAACTGGGAGACCAACATAAATTCGTATGTGCACCTCCAGGATATCATCCCCGAGGAGCAAGTCCTCATGACCTTCCACGCCCTTAGAGATGAGGCCTCTAGCTTTGCCAAGTCGTTAGCCCGAGCCGCCGGATGTGGCAATGATATGGTTGCCTACTCAGCGATCACGCCCTTAAGCGAGTTTTTGAAGGCCCTTCGGGATCGGTTTGCAGACGTCACTAGGGGGCTCAAGGCCTCTGACAAGCTGCATAGTATTCACTCACGACAGTGGAACAGTGCCAAGGCACTCAAGTGTGTGATGGATGAGTTAGTCGCCGTCCCTTACCATGGGGTTACTGAGCCCCAATTGGTTTAGCTATTCTTTCGTGCCATGCCCGAGAGTTTACATGAGCACTTTTATGAGAAGAGTAAACAGCCAACATGACCTACGATACATCGAGTAGGGATGTTGTGACGTTCAAGGCACAGTCCATGCCAGCTTCCACTTTCTGGCATAAGGACTTGGACAAAGGCCAAAAGTGGAAGGGGCGTATCATCTCTGGCCAAGTCAAGGCCAAGGATCATCTGATCCTCACTTTAGATGAAGGTGGTATGGAGGAGGTCCCATATAGTCAGATTGAGTGGGGCCTCGAGGAGGAGGACAGTAATGTGAGTCAGGGGAGCACTTATATTGTTGTCGCGCCCGAAGGGCGGTTGCAAGGAAGAGGAGGAGGCCAAGGCCAAAGTGGCCAGTCCTCCGGTGGTTGAGGACAGGGCAGCTAGGGGGTTGGTGGCAGAGGAAACCGCCAAGAGGGAGGTAGGGGTCAAGGTCCCCCACAAAACCGTCCGCGATCTAATCGATCACCTTCCAGGAGGGGTCAATGGCACCCTGGTCTGCCCTAGGGCAGACCCTAGGAATCGTTGGCCATAGACCAAATGGTTTGGCAGAGGAGAATCGATGATGGTCAGTGCATTTACTGTGGTGACCCGGGGCATATTATCAAATATTGCCCCAAGTACAAGGATGCCCGACGATCGGCTGCAGAGGCAGCAAAAGGCAACCGCCGGTAGGGGTCGCAACTGCCCTTACCCCTAGACCATGTGGAGAAGAGTGCGTGCACCACAGAGAAACTCCCAAACCACATGTGTCTATGGCAGAGGTTACTGGCCAGCGCCTAGTTAGTTGTCCAGAGACTGCTTGCATTAGAGTCTCTCTAGGCGCTTCCCTCACAGGACTGGCAGAAGAGTTGAAGGAGAGGATGCCAAGATGGGCCAACATAAAGAAAGATGGAAAAGGGAAGCTGAAAGCGCTGCGGAAGCTAAAGCTGAACCTGAAAGTCCAAAAGCTAGCAGATCCCATATTCAATATTCTCACAGACAATCGCACTATGCGAATCGAGGATTACGTTGAGGGAGTCCATGTGTATTTCCGCCGAGACAAAGACGGGAAGGTAGAGAGGGTTCTCCATTCCCTGACTCTCCTCGTAGAAGACAATCTCCCGTTCGATATGGTCCTATGTATGGACTAGGGAGAGGCAATAAGAGCCACACTGCACTTGAGAGAGCATGAGTGTAGGCTTCCTAGTCCTTCAGGTGACGTCAAGAAGGCTCGCCTGTTTCATGTGTCAGGAGTAGATAATCCTCTGGCACATTGCTGCCCCTGTGCTCTCGCGTTTGCATGCTTAGTAAAGGAGGAACAATTAGAAGAGCAGGTCTTTGTAGCCTATGTGAGGCCAGTCACCGAGCCTAAGAAAGAGGAACCCACCAACACAGTTATTGCCAAGTTGTTGGAAGAGTACGCTGATCTATCGGAGTCTCCTTCAGGAGTAGTTCCACATCCGATCCAACACCACATTGAGATCGAGCCTGGCAGCAAATCTCCAAAGGGAGCAGTGTATAGGATGTCTCCTAAGGAGTTGGAGGAGTTGCGCCGACAGTTAGACGAGCTCCTCGAAAAGGGATGGATTAGGCCTAGTTCGTCTCCATTTGGAGCACCTGTTTTTTTTGCCCCCAAGAAAGAGGGAGAACTTCGAATGTGCAGGGGTCTTAACGTTGTTATTGTAAAGAATGCAGAGCCACTGTCCCGTATAGTCGATCTGTTAGATCGGGTGCAAGGTTGCAAATACTCCACCAAGATAGACTTGAAGTCAGGGTACCACCAGATAGAGGTCCACCGTGATGATCAGTACAAAAGGGCGTTCAGGACCAGATATGGGCATTATGAGTTCATAGTGATGCCCTTTGGACTGTCCTACACCATAGACATTCCAGCGCTGTAGGGCAACCCATATCTAGTCCTGTACAAAAGGGCGTTAAGGACTAGATATGGGCATTATAAGTTCAGTCTTAGAAGTCAAGGGCGGAGATGATGGACCGTCCTACACCATAGAGATTCCAGCACACCTCCACACCTACCCAGTGTTCCATGCGTGAAAGTTGTTGCCCTGCACTACGAGTCAGCAGTTTCCATCGAAAAGATCCATGATCCCACCGGATATGGATGCAAGGTATGACACTGATCGCATAGCAGCTGAGGATGTATTCATAACAGGAGGTAGAGGTCGTCCTCAGAAACAGTATAAAGTCAGATTTTCCTATCAAGAACCGGAGGATGACCGCTGATTTACACGAGCAGAGCTTCTAGAGACTGCTCCGGACGTGACCCGTGCCTATGAAAGAGCTAAGAAAGGTAAAGATCCTGCTATAGATTGAGATATTCTCGGAGGACCTCGAATTTAGGGCGGCGGGAGTGAAACGGTTTTCACCTTTGCAGTAGCAGATGCAGATCCCAGGGCTCGACCCCTAGACCTTGCCCTCACCCGTGTACAGTACCACGTCGACCCCTGTGTCTTTGAACCTGCAACCTGTGTCTCGAAAGTCGCCTGTCTGCGCGTCGTAGGTAGTGTGGTCAGCGGGTCTCGAACAATAGGTCTGTAGGTTAGAAGTCTTAGCAGTGGTAACAGCTGTAACTGCTACAGTACCGAAAGGTCAAGGTCATAGCTGCTACAGTACCGAAGGGTCAAGTCCACAACCTTCCGGAAGGTCCGGAAGGGACCCTTCGTGTAGTCTTAGGCGAAGGTCTGTAGGCAAGTGGGCAAGTTGTTAGTCCAACCTCGCCTAGTCAGCGGTACCCAGTGCCAGTCACACTTTGTCCAGTCAGCACGTACCATGTGGGACTGTGTGCACCCTGGGCCCGGTGGGAAGGAGCAGACCAGCGACCAACCGGAGTGTAAATCAACAGGCAGGGTCCAGCCATGCATTCATTCTGCCTGTGCGCAGTGCGGAGGTCTGCAGGTACCCGAAGGAGAAGTGGGCTGCGAGGGAGACAAAGCAGCCATAGCCACTAGTAGCTAGGAGGTAGAAGGCAGGCATAGCTTCCATAGGTTAGAGATAGGCTGTAGCGTGCATGTGTGAGCGTGTTGCCAGTCCCAGTCGCACTTTGTCCCATCAGCAAGTACCATGTGTGACTGTGTGCACACTGGGCCTGGTGGGAAGGAGCAGACCAGCGACCAACCGAAGTATAAATCACGAGGCAGCATCCAGCCATGCATTCATTCTGCCTGTGAGCCGTGTGGAAGCGCTGCCTGGGCGTCTTGTGCAAGGAGGTCTGCAGGTACCCGAAGAAGAAGTGGGCTGCGAGGGAGACAAAGAGGTCAGAGCCGATAGTAGCTAGGAGGTAGAACGCAGCCGTAGCTGCCATAGGTTAGAGATAGGCTGTAGCGTGCATGTGTGAGCGTGTTGCCTGAAGTGTACGAGTGTGTGTGGGACATCCAGGGAGATCCAGAGTAGCGTGCGTGGGAACAGTTGCCGGGAATACAGTTTCGGCTGGTGTTGTGTGGGCGCACAGGCGCCATAGCCCTCCAAAGCAACTTTTGGCCTCGATATCTCCGAGTTTGTGTGGGCGCCTGGCGCCAGTGTGATTGCCATCTGTTTTCATGCATGCTGAGTAAGGAAGAAGACGAGTCTGGTTGCAAAAGAAAGAAATTCTACACAAAAGAAATTCTAAGCCAAAATAGTCAGACTGATGCCAGGTTCAGGGAGGGAGCAAAACACAGCCGAACCTCACCGTTTGTAAATCGCAGAGCTCCATCCAGAATGCCTGATCTGTTCCATCAAGCACAGGCTGCAATTCCTTTGTCACATCTGGATGCTGGTCCCACTTTGCACTGCAAGTGGACCATGCACCGTCCCACTTGAACTGCCCCCACAAATTCCGTATTTGCAAAAGACGGAAACCTGACGACTCTCTAACCTGCTCGAGAAGACACATTAAGAAAAAGTCGTTAAACAAAAAAAGATGGGAAAACAGATGTAACGAAAACAAAAGCAGAGAACATGGCATGCATGCGAATCTTTCCCTTGGACTGTACTCTATGCTTGCCGGTGACAAGTAACCGGACTGTTTCCCCCCACAACAGAAGAGCCCTTGAGTTTTGAAAAAAAAACAAAAAAAACAAAGAAGCAACAAGACAATGACAAAGTCAGAAAACGAACTGATACAACAAGGTTCCGATTCTTCTGATAAACAATCCGAGTGACAAGCTACAAGAACGCACAGCAAGAATCACATTACAATGTGTGTGTGGGTGGGTGTGTGGGTGTGTGGGGAGAGAGAGAGAGAGAGAGAGAGAGAGAGAGAGAGAGAGAGAGAGAGAGAGAGAGAGAGAGAGAGAGAGAGAGAGAGAGCATCCTATAACATTGCAGAGTACAATTGCCTGCTGGCTAAATGGTGTATTACATGGAATTAATCATTATTAAATTATTAATGAAGTTCTTTTTCTTTTCTTTGACGGTAACCGGCTCATGAGTTCAATACTACTAGGCGCAGCAATACTAAAGAGGCGATGTCCTTCATAAACACAGAAAACTGTGGATTTGGGTCCTAAACATAAGGACACAAGGAGCAGAGGAGGGGGAGTATGAGACAATGATGTGGCAGTGAGCTGTGATGAGCATTGTCAACACAATTTGACAGAAGCTTGCTGCGCCTGATGGCACTCACTTTTGGCCGGCTTTGCGAAGTGTCACTCTTTTGCTACAGAAAGCATTTCTACCATTATTAACACATTATAAATTGTAACTTTAAAAGTAACGCCCTACCTAAAGTTACTGGACTGGAAGCTTAAAGAATCTTCAACAGGTTGACGTTCAAATACAAAATTCATCAACCCAAATTCTTTCACAATTGCAATCGTTCATCAACAAGGCACGAGTTCATACCTCTTGCTACCATGATTACAAAAGAGGGAAAAGATAATTCATTGGGCATGTTTCTTTGGTAGGAAATGGGCAAGAGGGGCAGAGGAACTAGATATGACACACCCGGTTAACGGGGGATGCTTTTTTTTTCGCCAAATTTTGCACTGAAACAGTCACATTGCCAGCACGGATTGGCGCACTGGCAATCAATCCTTCCACAAGGAACCGATCAATGCTGTCCGTTCAGGGGTCCCCGGGCCATAACGTGGGGAAGCGTTCAAGTTGGCCATTCATGTGAACTTCGTGGCTCGTTGGTGGAACAGGAACCGGACTGACGCTCCCCTGAACAGGAGGAGGCAGGTGTTTGTGTGGTGAAAAAAAAAAAAAAAAAGGTTGTGCCTTTTTCCACTGGTTGCCTTCCACAACTGCTTATTAGTGTGATCCCCAACAAACAGAGTGGCACAAACATGAAATGTTGCGCCTTTTTTCGCTGCTGCCTTTCATGGCTGCTTTATTAGTTTGATGCCCAACAAACATAGTGGCAATTATGGACTCCACACAGGGGCAAGGGCTGATCATAGTGCAAAGGAGGGAGAAGGGGAGTGAGCCACCATTTGAACAAGTGTCCCATATAATGTGCACAACTCACAACGTGGGACCGTCTCCACGTTCTCAAGCACTTTCCTTCCTTTTTTAAATGGCGGCGGCCTTGGGATATCATTATAGATTCATATATAGAACTGAACAGGCCCAGGTAATTCGGAATGATATTATACTCGCGGTCTAATTGTACGTGGATTCGAACTTGAGCCTGTGTTTCAACAGTTCATGGGAGTACCAACCGAGCTAGGCCCGTTGGTAAGTTCTCAAGCACTTTATGTTTGACAGAGAATGACATACGCACAACACTCCTACCTCCCCCTGCCCTCCGCCCGACCTCTCTGATCTCACAATTTGGACCTTGCTTAAGTTCTTCTGCACCTCACGTTTGGCAGTAAGCTGAATACACATTCTTGGGCATCACCCCTTCTTCCCTGCCCCTCCTCCTCCCTGCCCCCCTTCTTTCCAACCCCCCTCTAAAACTCCCCACTCCCCTAGCAAAATACCAGAGGGAGGGTGTAAGACGGCATTTGAGCGTAGGTAAGTCGTAATGTGTGCATCTCATAATTTGAGACCTTCGCTAAGCTCTCGGGCGCTTTATGATTGACAGTATATGAAATGCATACTCCTTAAACTCTTTCATTCCTCTCCCCCTCCCCCCTCCCCAAACAACAAAATAAGTGAGGAATCCCTTCCGAACTCGCCTCGTCTACTCTGCAGGGTCTTACTCCAGTCCTTACCCATTCCGAATTTACAACTACCACTCCGACCATACATTTAACCCCAAGTTCACAACCATACAAAAGGTTGCTCATGGGCATGAGTGAAAGGGAAGGAGGACATGAGACGAAGTTTGTCCTTAGCCGAGTTTTAAGTCTTAACCCTCTTCGTATCAAGAGAACTCATTGCTTGGCGGTGAGGCATGAAGGAGATAGAGAGAATTTAGTAATAATTTACTAAAAGCACGTTTTTTATTCGAAATTTGAGAACCACCACTCCACAACTACACACATTTGCAACCACTCAGCATTGAACCATGAGTCCACAATTTCACATCATAACACCACCTCAACCATACAGCGGCGACCATTCCATCTTCAAACACCGTATTCATAACCACTTTAAGGCGTTTTTTCTCGATTTCTGTGTGTCATCCTTCGGGTAAGGCAATGCTAGACCTCTCCATATCATTCCAATTGTCCACAAGGACAGAAAATTCCTAGGGAGATATCCTGGGCGCCCGGGTCCCGACGTCACGCCCAGTTTGCCGACCAGGTGACCAGCCGGGCATGCCCCCCGGGCATGGGCCGGGCCAGCAGCCACAGCACCAAAAAAAAAAAAAAAAAGAAAAAAAAAAAAAGAAAACATGTTGTGTAGACTTGCAATACAAACAACTTTTGGCTGAGGGTCGCATCAGAATTCCTCACGGAACTGAAGATAAAAAGTTTAAATAACCAAATCACACACTAAGGCAACCCCCTTTTAAAGTTTAAACCCCTTCAGCCCCTTTAAAATTCATTTGTACTCCCCTTCCCCCACCTTGACAGCCAACACTCAAAAACAGAAAAGAGCCTGGATTTGGGCTCCTCTCGGAGAGCGTGGAAAACCCTCCCTGGCCAAAAAAGAAATCCCTATGCCCGGGTATCCCGGGCGTCACGCCCGGGTGACCGGCCAGTCCAGACCGGTCGGTCATGAAAATCTTCCTAGGAAAATTCTACGTTCTTTTTTTTTCCCAGTAACAGGTCCTTATGGCCCTGGCTCCATATCCATTCTACGGACCGTGAGTCCGGTTCCTATTCCCCCGGCAAGTCAACATAATAAGATACATCAGATACAAAAAAGCAAATTCAGAAATTCTACATTCATAACTATCGTTCAAAGTTCAATCATGCTTTCCATAAACATTCACGTTGATTCAACCAATATACGAAGTATACGATCAGGGCCATTGATCTCGATCAGGGGCCATTGACCTCGGTCAGGGCCCATCGATCTTGACCATAGATTGCATTTTCTTAAGGAAATAGGGGGTCATCCACTGACATTACAATACCCATCTGATTCCATCGGGGTTTCGAAATCGCAATCTGTTCACTAACATTTGCAATGTGTGTGCCATTCGACCCCAGGGACTGCGTTACCTTGACCATGAACAATTTATTAATTTAACCACCACTTAACTTCGATTAAACATCGACAAACTACACATTCACGGCGACTCGATCTTAACAATTTAAGCCGATAACATTACAGCGACTCGAGCTTAACGGTTTGTGCTACCGATCCCCGAAATTTATTTAGTGGCAGGGCCCCGCGGGCAGTGGCGGTTTAAGCCGATAACATTACAGCGACTCGACCTTAACAGTTTGAACCGCTGACAGTACAGCGACTCGACCTTAAAAAAAATGAGCCACTAACATTACAGCGACTACTGTAGTCCTTGAACAATTTGAGCCGCTAACATTACAGTGACTCGACCTTAACAATTTGAGCTGCGAGCATTACTGTTCCATTTCCAAATCTGATTCTATCAGAACTTCTATCAGAATTTGAACTCCTGATCTGTTCATTGACACAAGTTAACACAACTTTTTCCCCATCAATCCTACAGCAATGTTAGAAAGGGTGAGAAGATATATGTAGACAATCAAAAGGATGAGAAGACAAAGAAAATCAATCAACCGCAAACGAGTAACAGAAAGCCGACAAGAGTGGCAATTCTACACAAAAATATTTTTCCACCCGGAAAAACAGCCTAAATTCATAGGGTATTAAAAAATGAATCAATAGACTTCCAAAAGAAGGACAACAAGAGTCAAAAATACTTTTGCATTATTGCATTTTACAATTGCATTGTTGCATTTTAAATTTTAAATTTTAATTTAACATGGTTTGAGCTTAAGTTTGAACTCAATGTTTTGTTTTGTTAATCACATCATGGAAATGTCGCATGTACCGTCCGGCTAGCAGCATTGTACAATCGCCTCAAACAAATGAATTTTACTTGGCAACATGTGGATTTTTTTGGAAAACTCTGCAACACTTAAACAACAAAACAATTGCAAACAAATGATACATTTGGAGACAAACTTATACAAGTTGCGACTCTGTAATTCACTAATTTAGACAAAAGAAATGTGAATCGTCAAGGAGCTCTCGATACCTTTTTTTTTATACCTTTTCAAGTTTTAACAATAAAATTCTTAGAGAACTCGAGACAAACAGATGTTAATGATTTTATTTGGAGACAACTCGGACACACATCTTAACAACAAAAATTGGAGAGAGAGACTCTGGAAATTAGAGAAACTGAACGGTGAAATGTGCATTTCAGAGCATACGACTCCGACAAATTACTTCTTAACTAGCAATAACATCCACTCCCCCACCATAACTACATTTCATTTCCTTCCCTCTTCCCCCCCCGCCCCCAGAGGGAAGAGGAGAGGGCCAGGAGGGGGGCAGGGGTTGGGGGGGGAGAGAAAGCTACATGGAACTTGTCTTTTTTTCTGGTTCCTATTTAACAGGGGACGGGCTCTGCTGGATGGATGCGGGAAGAGACCTCGTGGCCCCTGAATTTGAAACTCTATTTTGTATTGTATATTTGCCTTGGGTAGTCGTCCCTTGATGTGACAGGGGAAACAAAAAGAAAAAAAGTTGAATCTTGTCGACCATATTATTTTAGAGACTAGAACAATAACATAAGCGAAATAAAATAAGAATATGAGTTACAAAACAATAATTGTGAATTATAGATACTGGTTCATTGAACCCTTTTTCGCAACTTTTTTTAAAATGGAATTTCCAAATTTTCAGTACAAACTAATACATTAATATACATAAAATAAGTACATATAAAATACAGGAAAGAAATAACACATTATAAAGTGATATAAACAAGTTAAAAAACTAAAACATAATATTTGTTGATAATAATCATCACCATCACATAGCAAGCACAGAGAAGAAGAGGAAGACGACGATGATGACGATGACGATAACGATGACGACGAAGAAGGAGAAGAAGAAGAAGAAGAACAGCTCACCTGGAGGATTGTGTAAGCATGCATGTCCATGGGTTTCTGAGCCTTGCCTGAGGAGTCATTTGTGGTTGATGCGGCACATGCGGCCAAGATGTAACTGCGGTCATCATAACTTCTGATCCATGGCCAGAATCCTGCAGCGCATGATTCAACAGAGATCAGCAGGAGACATTAAACAACAGTTGTCCCTACCTCCATGCCTCATTCAGTTTACCACTCTGACACCACCAGGGGGCGGGTTGCGCCCTTCAAAGTCTAGAGAGAGTAAAAACGGCCGGAGTTACTTATGCCAACACTTCCTGACATGACTGAAAGTGAAAACAGATTCTTGACACAAATGGAGCTCAGCTAAAAGCAGCAGCACCTACCATTCAGGGCTGCAGTCAACACACATTGCAGATCCCACACATGGATTTCATTTGAGCGACTTCTTACTCATATTCACTCTGACCATCCCCGGTCGTAAGTCGGTGATTTTTTTTTCCTTCCCCTTTCCCCCTAACGAAACCCAGATCTCTGTTGGAGCGAGAGTTTACTTGGTTCAACAGAGATCAGCGGGTGACATAAAAAATGTGAGGATTGAGCCCTCAAGAAGGGGCCTTGCCATGGTGTAAATGTTCTGGGCTAAGGCCCCAGCAAGCCTCGTGCCCGCCCTAAGTGAAGGCGGGCCAGCAAATCAACAAGAGCCCTCTGTGCAAGCATTTCCCGAAGTGGGGTCCATACAGTTGCAGCACGCCAGTTGGTTGGAGTGCACCGAGTCTCGAATCTCTGCAAATGTGGAGATCCCAGGGCCTCTGAGTTAGTTAGGCCCTGGGCACTTGAACGTGAGGCCGACAATGCATGCTGGGTATAGAGGCCGAAAATGCCAAAGGGAAAATCGGCCCACTATCTGAATCTGGCCGCAGGCCTTGAYRAAAGAGGCGCAACTGCATCACCCGGGCCCCAACTGCATCGGGCCTGGGTTCAGGCACTGGGGCCCAGTCGCAGGCTGAAGGGAGGCCGCCCACACGCAACACTGGCATATAGGCAAGCAGGGCGAGTGGGCAGGGATCTTGGCCAATGCGAGCATTGCCGGCACACTGCGCGAATGTGAGCTGCTGCTGCGCTGCGCTAGGAAGAGGTGCGAGGCAGGCAGGCGCTAGGCAGTAGGGCGCTGCCTGTGCACTGTGCGCTGGCGGCCATAGCCGGGCTGCATGGGCCGCAGGTGAGGTGAGGGCGAAGGTGGTTCTTCGGAGGTGAAGGGCGCTGTGTGGGTAACAAGGGAGAGTGTGGGTGAAGAGGACACGTACCTGGTGGAGGTGGAGGTCGGCATTGATGTTGACATCATCACTCGCTGGTAGTCAAGTTGTCTGGTTGCTTTCATTGCTGTAGTTGTAGGCTTAGTCTGTAGAGTAGATAGGGCGCCTGGCGCCATTCACAAGAGAGAGCTACGTTGGGTTATGCTGTTGGTGTTGCCCTGTTGGGCTTGGACATTGACTCCCGATTCTTTTGTATCATTCTCAATTGGATGGTTACTCGGTTCCATTGTGCTATCTGCTCTGGCTTTGACTACTTGGACTTCAGTGTGATTTTGCGTTCTGGATTTCTGTGATTCGTCCATATTCATGTTCCTTGCAAAAACAACAGTTGTCCCTAAAATCATTGTAGGTGTTTCACCACGTATAGCAGAATCATCTTTAACGTGTGTTGTGATTTTACTCAAGAGTCGAGACCTTTTATGCAACCATTGCAGGATACCTTATAAGGGCGCAGTTGGACCACTCGACGTCCGCCAAGATTTTGAAATTTGAACGCTTGCAACCGAAATCTTGGGAGATGGTCAGTGTTGCAACGAGGTCCAATAGGACATCGACCTGAGTTGGAATCCCTGGATGAACAGCAACAAAATTCTGCAATGCATGGTTGATTCAGATTGAGTGTTTTCTCCAGATCACATGTGGTTTTCAGATGAACATAACAATGTTGGGGGGCTACCCGCTCAAAAAAAAAAAAAAAAAAAGGGAAAAGAAACAAGAAAAAAAGAAACATAGAGGAAGATGGACAAATAGCCTGCAAGCTAGGTAGGGAGATTCCAACTCAGGTCTGTACGTGTATTGAATGTATTCTATGACAAAGGAAGAGAGACAGGCCGCGAGGTTGAAAAGCAAAACAACAGCGTCCGACACACTGACGTGATATTATGGTGGAAGAAGAAGACAAAGGACATACCATCAGTGGAATCAAGCTCCTTGAAGCTGGGGCTGTCAAACATCATGGAAACGCAGGGCGCCCCAGTGAGATCGCGCAACGCATCGCTTGGTAATCCTGACGCCAACCGGTGGTATCCTCCGTGGAGCTTTGCATACGCCTTCTCGAGCAACATTACCCACGGGTCATTGTTGACCGAGCGAGCTGAACGCAGTCGGACAGCGCACTCGGAGTTAGCGTCAGCACCTTGTAAACAAGTAAAGCCTCTCGAATCCATCCAACGGAAAGAAGAAGGATCTTGAACAACCTGATTGGCAAGAGAAAACAAACATTGATGCCGCAATTTCATGTCTATTGCACACCTCGCTGGTATGTGTGGACCCTTACGAAGAGGGCTCAAGGAGCATACCGTAAAGGGCGTTCCCATTCTTGCAAGGCAGCTTCGAGTTCACCGCAATCGTCACCCATCTGCTCAACGATGACAGAAAGAAACACAACAAGACACAGCAAACGAAAACGCAAACACGAAGAACTCAATCAGACTCACAAGTACAGTTACTACTACACCCACTCGAGCACATAGACAACAAAAGGTCAAAACCCCCTTTCACCATTCTTACTCTGTCACATTGACACAGCCATACATTCACAATATGCTGCCAGATGGAAAAGGGGGCTGCGACCGACTGTTTCGTCGGACTTTCACCGACTCATCAGGAGGTTTTGAACCCTCGACAGTCTTCAGAATCCGTTCCTGTTGCTTTGAGCAACAGTCTGTCCTGATCTCCGCTGCCTGCGGGCCCTGACAACTGAGCCACAACTGAGAACCTGATGTAGGCACCGATGTCTTCCCTCAACACCTGCCACACCGATTGTCAGATGTGCGACACCGATACCTCTGCCCAAATGTTATAGTTTTGGACCGCCGAACATCTGGTCATATTTCATACAGATGCAACAAGTCAAAGAAAGCAGAACAGATACACATGCCCTAAAGGACCTAAACGCTAGCAGATGGGCCACTATGTTGGTGCTTCGCCAAGCTCATTCTTAACAAGGCTCCCCTCGTGCGTGTACATGCATGTGTAATGGAGCAGGAATTGCGCAGAAGCACCTGGAATACCTAGCCACACCTGAAGACAATCAGGAGTCAGTGGACTGCAGAGAAGCACGACAACTAGACGATAGAGGAGAGTCAGGGAGAACCAATAACAATCTCTTTCCCAAAAAAGAAAACCACCCATAAAACAAGAGAGTTGAGACACATCCAAAGAGCAGAAGGTTCTGACTATATATATGACGATATATATCATCACAAATATATATACATCGTCAAACAGAGCTTCCCGGTAAACCGTATATATATATATATATATATATATAAGAAAAAGAAAGGAGAGTTGAGACACTGGGTGCCTGATTACCCACACAGGTGACACAGGTACACTAAAAGATGGAATGGATGCGTATCTTACAGCAATCTGAATGGCACACAATAAGATACCTCTGCCAAATGCCAGACCACTACGACGAAAAACACCCTCGAGAGCTCACACAATTTCCTACCAATTCTGTTAAACCATCAGTAACCTCACTAATCACCAGCCTTCCTGTGCACCCCTGCTGGTTAACACGGTATCGTGGAAAGGTTTGGATTCTCCGAATCTCCAAGGTAAAAACGCTGGCGGCGCTAGACAAAATCCCGCGATGCAAGGGCTGGCCCAGACACCTAAACGCATTGAGAAAAAGAGGTTCAGAGGTACTGGTGAAGATGTTGAAAACTCTGAACTACACCCCCCTTTGTCCGAGTGTGTAAAAATGCTGAAGATTCTGAAAACTCTGAAGTGGTGAAAATGCTGAAAATTCTGAACCTTCCCCCCCTCGCCTCCTTCTGTTGGGGGAGGGGGGTTCAAAATCTTTAGCATTTTCACCACTTTCAGATTTTTAGAATGTTCATTGTTCGTCCCCTTGTATGAGTGTGTAGAAACGCTGAAGATTCTGAAGATTCTGAAATGGTGAAGACGCTGAAAATTCTGAAGTACGACCCCCTTTGTCCGAGTGTGTAGGAATGCTGAAGATTTCAAAAATTCTATACCGATGAAAACGCTGAAGATTCACTCGGAATGCTGAAGATTTAAAAAATTATATACCGATGAAAACGCAAAAGATTCTGATCCCCCCTGTCTGAGTGTTTGTGCCCTACTGTGTATGAACGTTGAACTTTCAAAATGTAAATGTTGAATATTAGTGCACCCGTTAACTTCCACTCTGGTCACTTCGATTGAAGATGGCTATCTTGGGTCAAAAAAGGGGTATGACAGGGAAAACACATGCGGGCAGAAGAACGGGGCGAATCGCGTACAAAACAAGAACTCCGCCCACTTTAAAAGGTTGTAATTCCCTCGTAGACAACCTAACTCGAATACAGAAGAGCATCCCACTACACTGGCTTCTCCTCTTGAAAGAAGACTTCTCCTGGAAACCAGGGGACTGGGATATACTCATACCCCAAACTTCGATCTAGGCTTACAAACCACAGACCCGGATCCGAAACTAAAAGACAGATGGAGAGAGCTACTGCACCTTGAGCTGACAATCTCAATAGCCACATCCTGTGCAAAATACCTCGTCATCAGATCGGCCACAATTTGTAGCATGCAGTGGCTCCTAACCCATGGAGCACTTCCGGTCAACCTGTGGCTCCACAAAAGGAGGAAATGCTCGGACCCCGACAGCTCGAAACTTCGCGTTCTGTGTAGTGACAGCTTTCCTGAAGACATACTCCACTGTCTCCTCTATTGCAGTCAGGCCGCTTGGATATGGAACGGCGTCCAAAATCTATGGTCTCTTCTCTTCTCATCACCTCCCCCCAGCCTCGCCCTTCAAAACATCTTACTTCTATCGAACATCCCCGACAGCCTCAGAGGAGGAAAAGTGATCCAGTTCCACATGCTCAGGAACCTAGGCCCTTTGGGTCATATGGAAAAGGCGATGGTTCAAAAGTGGCCAGGGACGAAATGTGGATTCTCTTGCTGAGGATGGCGGAAATAGATATCAGATGCAAATGGAGTGTGTTGGCAGCAACGAGGGGCAAACCGGAAAGACTCGCACTCAGGAGACGAATCTTCTTGAGGGATTGGCTGCTACAGGGAAAGATAGCGACCATCACAGATAACAAATTGATTTGGAAAACGTGGACCACTCCAACTACGACAAGGAATGCAGTCCCGAGAAGGGCGAATTGAGGCTTTAGCCTCAGACTAACAGACACCCTATGTTACATACTTCAATGAGTATGGGCAGAACCAAAGATCAACCAATATAGGATGAGCATTTATGCAGCGGAAGTCTGATAACGAACTGACTCACATAGACYGACTCACACCAACTGACTTACATGGCATCACTCCACACACATACAATCATGAGATGGTGGGGTCTGGGTCATTCATAGACGATACCCAGATCCCGTACACACGT